AAATAAAGAGATTGGCCTTACGAAAAATTTACGTGTTTGGCCCTATTTAATTTTTTTTTTGCATAGTACTTGTTTTTTAAAGTTATGCTAAATATGATTTATAATAGCCACTTTTATAAAAAAATTGAATATTAAAATATAAATTTCTATTAAATATAAACATATCAAATAATTAAAATATTGAACATCTAACAAGATTGGACCCTAAAAAGCTTGGGAGTCATGTGCGGGTGCACACCTTGCACACCCTCCGGGCCGCCAGTGGCGGATCCAAAAATTCAGGCGTAGATGGGGGCACAATTTGTCAGGGCAATGCCCTTGATTTTTTTAAAAAAATAGACCATTTAAAATGACAAAAATAATGAAATTTATTTTAAAAATTTAAGGATAATATATTTTGGTGTTGACTTTCTAAAAATATTTTTGGATGTGGTCGATTGGCAGTAAAAATAAGATGTGAGGTTAAATTTAATAGTAAATATATATGATGTGATCAATAATTAACACTCCGTAATTATTAATAGAGGTAAGAATATGTGATGCTATGTAATTTTTAATAGAAAGTGAAAAAGTTTTTTACAAGAAAGGAAAAGTGAAAGAGCTTGAGAAAAGGTGAGAAGTACGGAGTATATGGTACTCCCTCCGTCCTATTTTGATTACAAGATGATAATTACGATGTAAAATCTCACTATTTTTAAAATCATTTTATTTTTAAATTGATATATTAATATGAAATAAAAATTAAATATTAAAAACTATGTCTAAAGTTCTACAAAACAAGAGGTGACATGTATGCATATTTTATTTTATTAAGTAATCATTGAAAATACTTAAATAAACAAAAATTATCAAGAGAGTCTAGCAGTGCCCCTAAAATGAATTTATTGGTGCAAATTTTTTTGGTTCTCTTGTCTTGCGCCCTCTTCCGGTCTTCCCTATTGAGGCGTTCTTTCTCATTCTTTTTTGCACCAATTCCTTGCCCTCTTCAATTCCGTTTAGTATTCTTTACTTTTTTTTTCAGTTTTTTATTTTTAGTTTTTTCATATTTTTTCAATTTTTGTATTCTTTGGTTTTAAATTTTTTCTCAGTTTTTTATTTTTAAAATTTCAAGTTTTAAGTATTTAGTTCTAGTATTTTTTAAGTGCTAAAAAATAATATTAAAATTGAAGAGGAAAGAGAGATAACATTTTTTTAGAACGGAAAATTGTTACTGACGTCACGCTGAACTGGTTAAGTGGAAAAGGGGAAAAGGGATGTTGGATCATGTCTGCTAATAAGTGATGACTTGGTAGTGGAGATGTAGGGAATTTGTGAACAAACTATCAATATTTATTAACTTTCTCTTTCAAAAGTCATCTTTAGGCCACTTTAATTTCTAGTCTAGAAAAATCGACTTAAAAAAATCTGAACTTTATTAAAAGTTTTTGAAGGAAAAAGAACTACGTGAGTGGCTGTTTTTTAAACAACTATCGAACAAAAAATTTCAAATAAAACACAAATTACAATGGAATAAGTCTTTACGTTCACATTTATTTTTTTCTTGGGAAACATTACTCCGTAATTTTTAAAGAGTCAAACGTAGCCTTTGGCATCTTATGGAACAAAGGGTGAAGTTGCCTCAGCTCATGCCCCATCACGAGTTGGAAGGTTAAAGCATGTGTAAATGGGACAAGTGTGTGTATATATACACACACACACATACATACATATATATATATACACACACATATATACATACATACATACATACATACATACATACATATATATATATATATAGGGATTGACTCTGGTGAGATGACACCTTATGGTAAGATGACATGTTTCAGTCAGATGACGCTGGAACTCACCACTGATCACTGCAAAGCTCACCATTGATCACTGCAAAACTCACCACTGTCCACTGCAAAGCTCACCATGATTTTCCAACACTTTACATTTTTTTCAAAATTTGATGGTTAAATGTTTACAAAGCCCAACAACAAAGCTCATTGATTATCACTGCAAAGCTCACCGAATACGTGCACAAAGCTCACCACACTTTAAAGTTTAAAATGATTTAAAAAAACAAAGGGCGGTGGTGCTGACTTCCAATCGCTTTAGACTACCACCGTGGACAGGTGGTTGACTGGTGGTGCAATTTTATTAGTTTTTTTTATAAAAAAAGTGGTGAGCTTTGCATTGTTCCTGGGTGAGCTTTCCATTGACGTACAGTTGGTGAGCTTTGCATTGATAGTTGGTGAGCTTTACACTTTGACCACCCATGACCAATGGCCACCACCGATGACCCCCATTGTTGTCGTGGACCGGTGGTTGAGTGGTGGTGCTATTTTTTTAACTTTTTTTATTTAAAAAAGTGGCGAGCTTTGCATTGACAGTTGGTGAGCTTTGCATTAGCAGTTGGTGAGCTTTCCATTGGCAGTGTTGTGTTGTGTCATCTCATTGAAGCATGTCATCTTACCATAAAGTGTCATCTCACTAGAGTCAATCCTATATATATATATATATATATATATATATATGTATGTATGTATGTATGTATGTATGTATGTATGTTTGTTTGTAGGTATGTATGTATGTATATATATCTGTGTGTGTGTGTGCAGTGTACGTACGTATGTATGTATGTATGTATGTATGTATGTATAGTATTAGGATTATATTTTATCTCATTCTTTAACAATAATATTGTAGTGACTAAGGGCGTGTTCTTTAAGGCTTGAACTCTTAACTTCCAGTTTTTTCTAGTTTCTTCCTGTTCCTTCCAGCTTCTTCCCGTCTTCCAGTTTCTTCCAGTTCCTTCCAACTTTTTTCATTTTCTTCAAATTATTTCTACTCATCAACCAATTACTCTAAAAATGATATATTTCAATGTGATTATTATTATTATTATTATTATTATTATTATTATTACAACTTTTATATTCATAACTATAGTTTATAAATTATTTTTTTCATCTCACTACTTTTACGATTCATACTTATTATTATTTTCTTCAACTTTTTAATATGAATAAGACATTTTTTTTGTATATTAGTCTACATGATAAAACAGGAAAACATCAATATATTAAATTATACTCCCTCCGTCCCTTAATAATGTTCCGTTTTTGACTTTTGAAGAAATTAAGGGAGGGATATTTTAGTGTTGACTTTCCAAAAATACCCTTGATGTGATGTGTAAAAGTAAGATGTGATAGGTAGATTATTAGTAAAAAGGTATGATGTGATAGGTAGGGTATGAAAAAGTAAGGGGTAAAAGGGGTTTTTTAGGGGAAAAGAGAAGTTTATTTAGAGACAAAGAAAAAACGAAAGAGAAACTTTATTTAGGGACGGAGGGAGTACTAAAAAATTATATGGACAAAATAGTTACATTGAATGTTTTATTAATATAACTTTTTATAAGACATCTCAGTTTTCCCTTTATTACTTAAAAATTCCTCATTTTTCTAATATTTATAAAAAAAATTGTAAGTCAAAAGAGCTTAGAGAAAAAGACTAAAATATGAGTAAAACATAAAAAATGTAAACAAAAAAGTTCTATGTCTTTATTCCAAAAATAGGGATTCAATGAAAATAAAATGTCAATTATGAAAGAAACAATAGGTTTGATTATGTGACATGTATGATATTTAAAACAAAATGTTTTAATATATAAATTATAATTACAAATATATTATTTATAATAAATACTGCATAAATAAATTGAGGTGCAATATAACTACACAACTTTTTTAAAATTTAAAATTTTTATATTTATGCTAACTTTATATTATAATTATTTTTGGTAAAAGTAGTTTTTTTATTTAAAAAATAACAATACTTTTTTTATATCTTAAAGACATTCACTAAGATAACGTGATGATGATGATTATGTTGATGATTATGATGATGATGATGATTATAATAATAACAACAACAACAACAACAACAAAATAGTAATAATAATAATAGTAATAATAATAATAATTTATAAAAACAAGAATTTAAAATAAATATTTTTAAAGTTCTTTTACGTTTTCCAGTTTTTTCCAGTTCCTTCCAGTTCCTTCCAGTTCCTTCCAGTTTTTCCCAGTTCCTTCCAGTTTTTTCTAGTTCCTTCCAGTTTTTTCTAGTTCCTTCAAGTTCTTCCAGTTCCTTCCAGTTTCTTCTAGTTTTTTCCAATTTCTTCCAGTTCCTTCCAGTTTTTTCCAGTTTCTTCCAACATTCAGCTCTTTTTTTACAGTCCTAAAGAACAGGCTCTAAATGATAAATACGGAGAGAAAGATCACATTTTAATCGATGTGTGTGTGGTGGGGGGGGAGGGGGGAGAGGTAGAGGGTAGGGTGAAAAAATCATACTATTTCCGTTGATTATTTGTCCATATTTGACTTTTTATAATCAAAATTGATAAATTTTGACCACAAATTAAATAAAAATGGTACTGGATATTAATACAAGAAAAGTTTTATTACATTTATTCAATGAAATATTTTCCAAATATCATTTAATATAATTAAAACTTTTATATATTTTATTTAATTATAGGTCAAACGTCAAAGGTTAAAAATTATTGACCAAAAAATCAAAATTGGAAAAATACTCAAGCACGGAGGTATTAAGGAAAATAATCACACTTTTGTAGAATCCCGCAACCAAATCTATGTGCACGGCAGGAATTAAAATACTCCCTCCGTCCAACAATAAAGTTCCCACTTTCCTTTTTGGGATGTCCACAATTAATGTTCCCATTACTTCTTTTGGCAAGTTTTTTTATATCAAATGACTTTGTTACCCTCTCCTACTTTTCTTCTTCATTCTCGGCAAGTCTATCGAGCGCCACCACCCAATCCTTATTTCTCCATCTTTCTTCTTCTCTCCACCAATCATCGTCATCTTCTTCTTTCTTTCTTTTCTTCTTCTTCTTCTTCTCATTCTTTCTTTTCTTCTTCCTCCTCTTTCTTTTCTTTTATCGTCACCATCATCTTCTTTTTTCTTCTTCTTCATCTTCTTTTATCTTTTCTTCTTTCCCCTTTTGATTTTGGCCTACCACCCATTGATTGGGAGCGAGGCGGCGATCGAAATTAATGATGGAGCAGCGAGCCGGCGGTAAGATCCGCTCCTCTTTCGACATTGCTGGCAGTGATGGTATAGATCTACAAATCCTCTTATGCTCCCATGTTCGATTTGCAAAATCTTTTCTTCCGCCTCAGTCAAAACCTTAGATTTGCTCTTTTTACGCCATTAAAACCTTGCATCTACTCTTTTACCGATGTGTTGTCTTCCATGAGAAGATCCAGAACAGATTTACTTGGGTGGGGATTGTGGAGGCGATGGTGGCTACAAGTGCAAGAGAGGTCATCTGCGATGGTGCCGGAGAGTCAGCGGCGGCAATGCCGGAGAATCGTTGTCGGCGCTGCAGGGGAGTCGTCCGCGGTAGCTTTGACTCCCTCCGTCCTTGGTGGAGAAGCATTAGGGGTAGTAGACATGTTAAGGGTAAATTAGGAAAGTCAATACAATTTTTATCATGCATTAATATGCGTGCCCGGTCAAACCGGGAACTTAATTAATGGACGGAGGGTACAAGTATTTATTAATGAAAAAAATTAGTTAACTGCAAAAAGAAATGAGCCCCCCTGCCCCTCATCGCCAAGAACAGTCTCAGATCTCGCCTACGGTCACTGAGAAGAAGTAAATTGAATTTTAATTGTAGATTGATGACAAATAGTGGAGCCCATACCTGGTACTTGCAGAGGTCCTATGCTTAGCATAATTGTTTCCCAGTATAGTAACCAGGAGTCGAATTCGAGGTTCTGGGGTTGTTACATCTCTATTTCGATAAAAAAATTACTCCGTATAGTGAATTAGTGACTGTTTATAATAGGGGTGGGCAAGGATTGGGACGGTCCGGTTTTAGGTTGTCCAACGTCTTGTCCCGTTATATATAAACGGTACGGAACGGTTCGGATTACAATCTCATCCCGCTTTGTCCCATAAAATTCGGGATCGGAATAAAACGGGACGGATTCGGGTCGTCCTACTTTGTCCCGGGTGAAATTTTATTCAAAAAAAACATCTAGCCATCCAACAACAAACAATGAGTGGAACGGGTCCAAATAAATTTCAAGCTCATGAATTTAATTTAATTAAATAACTAATTAATTAAAGAATGAGTGTATTTGGATTTTGGACTAGAATTAGTATTGTATATTAGTAGAGTAGATGAAACGGGACAAACAGGACGGATCAGTATAAATTTAAGCTGTCCCGCTCATGTCCCATTTGATATTGGGACGGAACGGGTTCGGGACCAAAAAAATGTGTCCCAATATATCGGTACAATTACAAAATGGATCCGAGATTTTTCGGAACGGTCCAACGGGAACGGATTTTATGCCCACCTCTAGTTTATAAACACACACCATGGCTTACTACACTAAGGCCCCGTTCCGTTCAACTTATTTTTTCTTATTTTTTCTTATTCTTATTAAAATCAGATCAGATCAGATCAGACCAGATCAGACCAGATCAGATCAGATCAAATCAGATCAGATCAGATCGAATCAGATCAGATCAGATCAGATCCAATCAGATCAGATCAGATCCAATCAGATCAGATCAGATCCAATCAGGACTTATTAAAATCAGATCCCATCAAGAATTATTATTATTATTATTATTATTATTATTATGATTATTATTATTATTATTATTATTATTATTATTATTATTATTATTATTATTACTCCGTATTATTATCATCATCATCATCATCATCATCATCTTCATTATTATTATTATTATTATTATTATTATTGTTATTATTATTATTATTATTATTGTTCTTAAAAATGAAAAAGAAATAAACTTTAAAAATAGGTTAAATAGATTGACAATACATTGACAATGTCAATCTAATTCTACTTTTAAAATATATTTTGATTGCTACTTATAATTTGAGTTTCTAAACTTTTGATCTTTTATAAGGATGAGACATTTTAATAAAAATACTATCTCTTCTATATATTGATTATCTAAATTTAATTAATTTTTAATGTATATCTAAATTAAATATTTATT